CACACACACACACACACACACACACACACACACACACACACACACACTCACAGCAAATACTGACAGATTTACAATAGCCAGCAGCTGATATTTAATTGTACAGGTATGAAGTTAACTGCACCAATGATTAACAACAATCCAATAAAAGAATTATGATTTTTCTTTAAAGAATTGTCAATGAATGACACATTATTATCATTATTATTATTATTATTAGTAGTAGTAGTAGTATACTTTTTTTAATTCAACATTTTTTACATAAATGTACATACAGTATGTGTGAGTTTTTAACATATATATGGTACTTCAGTTTCAACATACTAGTTTGCTTTGGCAAAAATACAATAAAGGCACATGTAATTGCAGTATGCTCAATTTCACTGCTGTCATGACACACAATACTCTGTGTATACTTAACAGCAGATGAGCCATAGTGTGCAGTGTTGTTTTTATTAATAATTACTAAAATACACAGGTGGTCAGACAAAGAGTGCCTCCATATTCGATTAATTAATTCAGAATAAAGTGTGAATCATCCTTAGAAACCAGCCAGGCAGCGCTCACCAACCTGGACAAAGCAGAGAGCCCTGCGTAGGGGCAGGTATACCGGCCACAAAGTTTCTGAGTTTGTCGGCCAGGCCGTATATTATCACCACCGCCAGGCGCAGGGTGGGAACCAGGGACTTCAGTGCATGAATAGACAAAAGACTCTTTGACGCTGAGACACACCATCCCCTCCTCCACCTCCCTGATCTGCACACATGGGAACTTATTGTACGGATCACACAATAACGACGCAGCTGTGAATGTAGTTTGGTGAGAATTGCATTTTTAGTTACGATTTTTAAAAAGCCAATTTTACGCAGCTAAAAAACAAACGAATTCCGCCTCAGAATTAGAAGATTACAATCTGTTGATTATTAAAGTCATTTTCAACTCCACAGTTGTGCAGATTGTGGCTTTTTTGTTTGGGTCGTAGACTGTTGTGGGACAAAGACATCAACTCGGGCTCTTGGATATTTTGATGGGCAAATGGAAATGGCATTAGATTTGCAGGTATTTGGTCATTAAAATATTGGGGATCTTATTACAATTCAATCTGAGGTGGACATGAATGTGTGACACAAATTTCATGACAATCCGTTTAATAGTTGTGAAGACATTTCGCTCAAAATCGCAAATGTCAAACCCATGGTGACATAGAGGAAGAGAGGGGTCACCAAAGTCCTATACGTCATCTGAGATCCATGAATGTCAGCTCAAGATATCATGGCAATCCATCCAATATGATATGTACTGTATCATGAAGTGACTTGGTGCTGTGGTCCTCTGTCCTTGGCCATCCCTTCCAGTAAACATGTCACCTCAGCAATATAGAAATAGCAGTTGTTCCTGCAGCGACAGCTCTCCTTATCCATCGTTGTTTGGAGACTGTCACACTATATTGTTTCTCCATGAGGCAATATGCCAATCCGCAAACAGGATATCTTACTGTCCTCTATCATTGCTAATACTGAGGTTGGTTAACCAGCCATGATATAGATCTCTCGGACATCCTCTGAGGATGGTTGTGTGTGGGTGTGTGTGTGTGTGTGTGTGTGTGTGTGTGGGTGAGCACTTTTGTCACCAGCTCCTGGCCCTCACTCTTTGTGCATGAATCAGAATCAAGATCAGAAGATCCTCTTGTTATTGTTGAATATGAGTGTGTGTCATCGAGACTACCTTTTCAGAGACAAACAGACAGACAGTATTTGTATGTGTTGAAGAATTTAAGAACGAAAAAGGCAACAGACAGCTCAAAGTTTCATGTTATTCACTGCAGCATTCATCTTTTCAGCTCTTTATGAACTCTCCTCTGTTTTATTATGTGCCTAATCTAAATAAGACACTCCTATGTCTCTCTTTCTAACTGCTTTTCCATTTTTTTCCCCCACTGTTGCCTTTTTGTCTCTCTCTTTCCTTGTCCTTGGCCATCCCTCCCTCCAAACCGTGTGTCGAGTCTTAAGAAGCAGAAAGATAAGGACGGAGAGAAACGATTGAGTCAGAGATGGTGGGTGTATTAGACAAAATTGGTTGCCAGAGATGGGTCGATAAGAGGGGGATGGATAAATGAACACAAGAGAGGAAAAACCCAAAGCTTCTTTTTTTGTTTTAGGATGGTTAAAGCCCAGACTTTTCATAGGGAAAAGTACTTTTTGAAGAGTTTTGGAATGAAATGGTTCGGCAGGGCTTCAGCCAGAATACTTAGTGAATTGGGAACAAGGGGCAGCATGGCTGCATTTAATATCAGCCACTCTATATATTATAGATAAAGGAAAGCCTTGAGAGCTTCTTTTTCTCCAACGCTGCCCTGCGTGAATCACCTCATGCTGCTTCCTCTCTTCTGTCACCCGTGCAGAATAAAAGAGTGCGAGCAGCAGGAGAGAGGAGCACATGCTTCATATTTCAGAAGAAGTGAAAGAGTAATGCAGGAAGGTATTATAAGGCAGTGCTGACAGAAAAGGAGAATATAGCAGAAAAACCAATAGACTATAATGTAAAGCAGCACATATGCCTGCAGGAACCAATAATTACATTGATAAAGTAATGTTTAAATTTGATTGACCTTGTCAAAGGCTTAGTTTGTTGAATTGTTAAGCATATGACATTGTTTTAGTCAATGATGGTGCAAGTCTTATTATGAACTGTATTCCTTTGCAATGCATAAATCACCATATTATCCCCTGGAGCATTACATTATTTTGCAGTGATTGAGACTGTAAATCACAATTAGTCGTTGGTGTGCCATATTCATTTGAAAACCAATTAGCAGAATGTGTCGGCTTTAATAGAGGTCTGACAACCACAATTTTTATGACTGACATTACAAGGAAACGAAAGAGAACTCTGAAGTACAAAGCAGTCAAAATGAAAATAATTCTCACAGGTTGCCCTTTCCAGATTACCAAGTTTGCAGTGTCTGTTGCTGATACATATGCTACACACAATAAGGCTGCATTGACAATGAGGAACAATGACCACAAAAAGACAAACGGTGTGTATTTTATTGTGTTTCCGTTATTTTGTCCACCCCATATAGCAGAGGAGGAACGAAGGGAAAAAGAAGAGATGAGAACTATAATGTCATTGTGATGTTTGAATACAACATACACACGTACAAGCACACACTTTTTCACTACCTGCTGCACGGTTTGACGAGACCTTCGTAGAATTGTTTTATGTTTCTTTGTTTCTTTGTCTCCGAGAAGCATCAAATACACAGGCCTGTCACAGCGACTGATGAAAGGAGGAAGAGCTGAGCTTATTTTCTTTGTATTTTTGGAATTGAGCTGCTTTTTTATAATGTTTCCTTACAGCTCAGGGTATCACCAGTGAGATAATGCATTAAAGAAATGGCTGCTTACGTTTACGTGTTGTCTGATTGGTGTGCTGGCTGATCATTTGGTCTGTGTACCCAACATAAACCCTGGTTTAATGTATTGTTATAACACGTTCATTCGTACATTCAACAAAGCACAAATGCAATCTTTGTTTGTGTGTGCGCCAGAATACATTGATAAACAACATCAGTTCACCTGCAGTTATTTAGAGTCCACTACCAACATACTAAGTTAAAGACACATTTATACCACTATCATTATGCATTCATTATAAACTGTTTTCTTGTTTTGATTTGAAATGTCACCTAAACACATAAAAAAGGCATATTCGTATGGTGTGTTGCTGGAGGGAGTAGACTTTATGTTATCACATATGGGTCAAATATTCCACTGTTTTTTTTTACAGTAATTTTAAACATAAGGAAGTTATAATAAGACAATGTTTCATCTTATGTTCAAATGTACGAACTTGCATTGAGAGTACAAGAAAAACATCTTTATTCGTCCGTCCTAAACATTGTCAAAACCTTGCGAACACTGTTTATGCGGTTCATACCTAGAGCAGTATTTATCCCACAGTATGTACAGATAATCATCAGTTCAGGTGTTTAGAGAGACGTGTAACTGTTGAACTTGCACCTTTCAAAAGAAGATAACCACTCAGAACAGGTCCAGTTATTTTGAAGAGAAGAAGAGAACGAATTCATGAGAGACAGAGAGAAGGAGAGCGTTAAAGTGTGTTAAAGAGTGAACCCAACCCGCCCTCCTCCTCCTCCTCCTCCTGTCACCGATCCATACCTGTCCGCCCACTGATTTCCCATGAGCCTTTGGGTGATTGTGGGAATTTAACCAAGTAGGGCTCCTTTTAGTTACTGTTCATTTACACAAACACACATGCAAGTATACACTCCATGCGAGAACACATACTGTACACCAATGCTCACATTAGCATTCCCTCCCACTCGCATGCACATACTCACTGTCCTCTGTGTCTTACATAACAGTTGTGTTTACAATGATGGAGGATAGATGAGCCGCTTGCGGGAGAAAACCTACAGGCAACAAGTTAAGCGTTCTCTAATCAATACAACTGTAACTTCATTTTTTATTCTGTGAAAGATGTTTGTGTAGTGCGCGTTAGTGTTTATATTGTCAGGTCTGTCTACATGCTGCAGAGTCTGCCGAGTGTCTGGTCTTTCATCACTGTGTTGTTATAGTGGGTTGCAGTTCACCCTGGTTCACCCCTGGCTCCCTGCCCACATGGTGAGAGAAACAGAGACACAGAGAGAGAGAGAGAGTGAGAAACAAAGAAAAACTATTTTCCATTGCTTCACTCCCCAGGATCTCTGTTTCAGATTCTGTGAATCCCCCCCCCACACACACAAACCCATCACACCAGTGTCATTAGACGGCACTTAAGAAGCCCACCAAGAGCGTGCGAGTGAGCTCTGAAAATTGAGAGGTGGAAAGTTCGGCGGCAGGAGAGACATACAGAGAGAGCTCCTTAAGAAAGCTAGGAGGTGTCAAGAGAAGTGAGGGATTACATTTGGAGAGTTGGTGATTATAGTAGCGTGGTGTAAGTACCGCACTTGTCATGATCAAAGCTGCTATTAGTGCACTTAGTGAGGATCAAATGGGGCTCATGTTACATGAGTGCAAATGGAGAAGCTGTCAAGAAGTTAAAGTATTTGAATTTTTTTTCCCTCTTTTTTCTTAGGTGTTTGGTTGTATTTTGTCAGCGAGTGGGAAGGTGTATAGGTTTGGGACTCCGGCAGAACGTAAATGGCTGTATTGGGATTAATGTGGCCTCTGAGGGCAGTCCCTCTAACCACCCTGCTCAGACTCGGCATGCTCTCAGGCCCTGTATAACCTTTGCACCAACACTTTTTGATGAATTACCCCCTCGGGGTTAGGGTCCCATCAATAATGCCCATACACACCTTCATGTTCTGGTGCATCCTTCAAATTTCTGCGCTGAAGCACAGAACTTGAGCAAAGAGTTGCTCCTGACACTTTATACGTAACCATATATCACAAACGCACGCATTCCCAAACACAACTAGGCAGTTGCACGGCTTTCGGCGAGATTTCCAATCTGGTGGACTAAATCCCAGTCAAGGTGACCTGTTGTCCTCTGATGGCTGACAGCAATGGGACTGATCTGTCCCCGTTCTATTAGGACTGATTATATAATTTAGATACAGATGGGTCGTTTAACCCAGCAGCTGTACTCATCAGACACACCAGACTGAGCCCCCTAGTTAATGGCTGACAAGAAGCCATGAGGGTAACAGAGGCTGGCAATGAAGAGGAAACACATGGTCACCAGGGTGTCGCAGTGGATGAAGTAGCCAACCTGTAACCAAAAGGGCTCAAGCCTATTCAATGGAACCCCGGATGTGTTGTCCGCAACAACTTAAGCAGTGTCCCGACTCCTTTTATGCTCACTCCTACAGTAAATAACTTACGAGTGGATCCTGTCCTCACCAACAGGGGGCACAGCAGCTCTGATTTTTAAACCTGAATTGTTCGAATCCAAATAACTTTAGAAAACGTCCAGATTTCAGCGATTTCTGATACGTCTAAAATTTCCGTCAGTTGTCTTCCAGTGAGTTGTTCCACCATCTGATTTACCACGTGGTGGTAAAAAAACAACTCTTTCCAACGTGTTTGAGGATGTTGTCGTCTAGTTTGAAAAAACTTCATTGGAATTGTCAAAGGACAAACCTGATCAGTGGTTTTGTGTTCATGTTCAGTGTGAGATCCAGGTTGTGACCAGGTCCTTTGATCTGTACAGTGTAAGCGTTTTATGCTTTCGCCTTGAGCACATTAAAACATAGTGTGGGTTAACATGATGTACATTGTCTGCTCGGGTTAAAACAGATTGAAGAATATGACGATATAGCTGACGTTTGAATTCAATGACAGAGGTAGGTTGTTTCGCACAAAGTTAGAACACTTGAGAATTTATTTATTTTGAATGAGCCGACGGTGAGATATATTGTATGCATTGGGATGTAAACAAAGGCAGTGACCTGGAAAGGAAAGTGGAGATGCTTTTCCATCATCTCTTCCAAACATGCTCTATTCTAGACCAATTGTCAATCGGTGGGCAAAGAACGAGAGTACTGAAGTCAAAAGAAGGGTGGCAATCAACAACTACTTTTTGATACATTAAGTAATTACTTCTAAAAAACATAGCAAACATGAGCAAGTCAGAGGATGCCAGGCAAGATGTTTTCAGAGGGAGAATTATTTCATACAGAAACAAATGTTGCACTTAATATTTTTAGTCACCCACCCACGAGTGGGAAGATATGCCGTTTCCATGACTGTTTTATATTTAAATACAGAATCAAGGTTGGTAAAATAGAGGATGTTCTTTAAATTGGCCATTTGCGGATCTCTTACAGGCTGGTCTTAGAGACAAGATGAGCAGGCGAGAGAGGGACAGTGAAAAAGAAGTCAACGCATTGTCAAGGAGGGACAGCGGAAGGAAGGGAGAGATGGAGAGTGAGAGAGAGGGAGAGGGAGGGAGAGGAGAGCTGTTGTATAGTGTTAAGTCAGCATCACTGAACCTAGTTTTAGGTCAGAGAGTGGGCTGCTGTGAAATTGGGTTACCACAAAAAGGTTTGATTTAATCAGTGCAAACTGCAAAGTCATAGTGTGTTTTCGTGTTATCTGCAATATGTCATGCAGAGAATGGACATGATAAAAAAACTATTCCATTTCTCTTTCTTTACCTCCCTCACTCTTCATTTGCTGTATCAGTCATTGCATGTGTGCACCCACACTGCCTCTCTCCCTGTTAACACCTCAACTCAGCAGCAAGTCGCTCACACGACTCTTAATAAAAAGGCTCCTCACTCAGAAGACATACATGAACAACATGGATTAGACACACACACTTGTATTGAACTGGTGCGACTGTGGTCCGGGGGGGGGGGGGGGTAAGCGCTCCCTGTTGCAGAGAAGAAGACCGACTCTGAAAATGGAAGCGTAGACTTTTCCTCCTCCTCCCACACAGGCAGCCTGGTTCAGAGGGGCTCCGTCTCTCGGAGGCTCTCAGAACTTCGAGTCACAAAACGCCTGCTGCCTGCCTTCAGACAGGCAAAGAAAGAGAGAGAGAGAGAGAGAGAGAGAGAGAGAGAGAGAGGGAGGCGGGAGGAGGAGGAGGAGAACAGCAGTCAAGCAGCCAAGAGGTTGGGTGTGAAAGCCAGAGGAAGGGAGACACAGGCTTCAGAGGAATTACAGAGCTCCTGTGTTAGATGATAACATGTAAAAAGGTGTGGAGCAAGATGTAGCAAAGGCGAGGTGATGGCAGGAGTTCACATCGACACAGGCACTTAAGTAATATCAGAGACCTTTTGTCACTCGCAGAATGCCTGATGCCTTCAAGGAGGAGCAGGTAGCAGCATGTGAGCCGGTGCTCCTCTTTTCCGACGTCAGGCTCGGCTGACTTTGCTGCCTGCCTGGTGATAAAAACAATGGGGAAATCACATAATCTCCCCTGTGGGTTATTTGTAGACCTCATGGCCCAGTAATCCATTCCTCTTGCTTATCTCTCACTGTTCATTTGTCAGTCTTGTCTCCCTTGGGTCCGTCACCCTTTCCTTCCTCATCCTCCATGCAGTAGTAGCTTCATCCCTGGCTTTATCGAAAAGGAATACGCTCCCACGGGGTATAAAGGCTGAGAACAGTAGAAGAGAGGGTGTGTTGGTGTGGAGCAGAGGCATGGCTTGAGTTTCATATTTATTGTTTTGCTTATATTTTACCACAGCAAAGCCAAAGATTAATTTCAATAAGTGTGACAATTTCTTTTGTTGCTATTCATTCATTTTCTGTATCATCTAATTCCTCTTCCTGTATTCCTGTACTCGCTATACAAATCTCTCACCCCACGTGACCTTTCAGTTCTTTTTCACCATCACAACGTTGAACTGATACAGATTGGAAGATCAGTCTGATGCCCAGAGTAAAGAGCAAAGCAGAAGTCTGAATCTTAAATCAGTAAAGCTGTGGGCCGATACAGACCAGTGAATATCTCTGAATATACCCTCCTGCATATATAACTCTTCTAATGGTTCAATTGCCCTGTTGCTATATTTTCTGTAGACAAGATAATTAACTGTATATAAAAGCAGACAGGCGTAAATTGGTGCCAACATTAATGTAAGAAACATCGAACGAATAATTGCTTTGCTAAGATTTATGTATGAAGTCATACCCAAGCTATAAAATGTTGCTATCTATGTACTAAAATATTAATTTGGAGTGGGTGCCAACCTTTCCACAATAACGTATTCAGAGTGGAGGTAATGCATTGGTGAAATGTATAATATATAGTATTGAAATCTATAATTTCGTGTGTATTTCGCTGCTTTCTTATAAATCTAGTTTTTCTGCAGGGCATAATGAGCCCCATAAAATGGAAGGTAGGAAGAAAATTGTTTCATTTCATGCTATAAGGGAAGATTATGAGTTTGCATGAGATAATGTTTTAGATCTACAGCAGCTATGGTTTATACTGGTCTGTAACTGCCCTCTACTGGTGTACACTGTTCAGTACAGCCAACTATTCATAAGTCACAGGACACAGTAAACCCCAGAGTGAGTGGTGGAGTTGATCTGGTGGAGTTGTACCTCTAAGACCAAACCAGTAGATATCACCGCTATTTCAGATCTGTGTTTCTCTGTGTTAAATATTTACAAACGTATTCATGGGTTTACAGGGGTATGTCAGCAGATGGAGCAGGATACTTTGTCATATACTCTTGACATTTGACATGATACTTACTGAAGCAAACACACACACACGCCCCCTGATAAAAGGTTGTCCACTCTTAACAGGGGTTGAAGGAACCATGTAAGGTCTGTACGTGTGTGGCAACCCGATCCTTAGATGCTTACAGACGCACATATTTGAACACACACACAAATAATTATATTCTTCTCATCTTTAGAACAGCTTTTAATTAATATTCATATTTCCCTCACAGCTGGAAGACCCATGCATCATTGGTTACTTTGTATATTCCACTATGGTCTTTGTTGAAGTTAGGTGTGTGTGTGTGTGTGTGTGTGTGTGTGTGTGTGTGCCTGCCAGATGACTTCCTCCGGAGTTGTGGCTCTGCAGATTTTTGCCTGCAGGTGGCAGCAGCGTCATGGAGCTTATGTTCTGGTGTTTGCTATCTGCACTGCTGGACAGCCAATGGCTACAGTGTTGTGCTTATTAGTATTAATCTAACAGAGTTCAGTGGGTTTCCTGCTTCCTGGTACAGTACCAGTATAAAATGGCATAGTATAGAAATACTCAAGTGAAGTGTAAGTATGTCAAAATTGTCCCTAAGTAAGTACCGAGTAAATGTAGCCCACTTAGATGCATCCCACTGTTGGATATCACTCTGTGAAACTGTGGGACTCAAGAAAGTATGTCGTGTCCAGTGAGAGTGTTTGTGAGTTCGATTTCAACCTGTGACATTACAATACATGGCACATGTCTTATACCTGCTGAAACACAACACTGCTCCTATTGAACGAGTCAGATTAGCTGCGACTGTTAATTAGGGCCCTACCGTATGCTGATAGACTGCAGGACACATCTGCTAGCAAAGCTCCTGATGCTCCAGTGTTGCACTGTCATCTATCTTCTGTATGATGTTTGAGGGTTTGCAGGAGTTATTTTGTGTTGAGATGCTGCAATTTCTCTTTTTGGTTGTGCCCACTTTTCCTCAATCTAGTTTATCTGAGTTCAACTTTCAATTATAGAATAAATCTATACTTTCCCAAACCTGATCCCCACCGACATAACTATGCAGTGCCATTCCACAATAAATCATACTTGCAGCTTTGGAGAGCCCTCACAGCACATTCAAGGGGAGGGTATAAATAATCAGGTAAATTGCGGGACACACTTGCCACACTCCATAAGCAGAAAATGTCCATTACCATTGATACGGATAATTGCTTTGCTCATTTAGCTGTTCAGTTACCTCACGTTATGTTCTGTTTAACTGTAAATGTGTAACATCCCTGAAACAATCTGCGTATCATGGTCATTTTCAATTGAATGACGCATTCATGTGGAGACAGATCAAATATATTAAAAGTGCTATATAGGACATTGGGAGCATTTCTATTGCCTCTCAACGGCTCTCAACATGGAGACGACTCAGCTGGCGGCACGCAGCTAATGATGCAAACAGTACTTACAGTGCGAATTATGGCAATAGTGCTGACTGAGCTAACAGTGTTTACCGGGGGGGGACTAGAGGGTGGGCGCCGCTATGGTTCAGCGACGACACCATGGGTTGGGATGGTGTCATCTGCTGACTGTGAGCGAGCCAGTGGGGCACTCTCACATGCACAAAAATGCACTAAATGCACGCACACGCAGCCGGCCGGCTATTTACACGAAGCAAGAAGAAGCTCAGATACACACACACAGCCGGAGAGCGACTTCTCATCAAGGTAGACATTACTCCACTATATATTTTTATAGCAAATAGTTGTTTGCTACTATGTTAATGCTCAAAATCCTATTTATGGCACCCTTATAGTTTATTGTCTACTTCCAATCCACACTAGCTAGTTTGTAACAGACCCTAAGAGGGCAAAACCTTTCACACAAATATGCAAATGGAGAGAGAGAGGTTGAAGGGCCAAGAATGTCTGTCTCAGCTCTGTGACAACTTTGTATTTAAGTCCCTGAAGCCGAGTGCTTCCACCTGTGCCTCTTTCTCGCTCCTCCCTCCCTTTCTCCTCTCGCCTCCCTTTCTCCTCTCCTTCCCTCCACAGTGGCACGTTCCCTGTGAATAGAATGTTGAGTGGGTTTCACCAGCTGGTGCCTTTTGCCTGCAACATAAATAGTGTTAAAGACAAATGTATGTGTGTCTTTGCCAGATACTCGAGTGGAGTGTCAGTGTCACTGCCCTCCAACATTACTGTGGGCCTTTGTGCTCACACAGCAGCCTGCACAGACTGATGCACCGATTCCAAATCTGTAGTAAATCATTATGTTGTCCCTCGCAACACACGGACACACAAACTTGATCTTTCATAATATTTACCAGCCGCAACACTGGTATTGTTTTCACCTTGTGAGTCAGTGTGTGTGTGTGTGTGTGTGTGTGTGTGTGTCATATTGGTAAAATATGGTCCTGGAGACAGCTACTGTAGCAAGAAATTACCACTGAGGCGGTTTTGAGTACTTTACCAGATGTGGACGGATTTTGTGACCCTATAGTGTCCCAATCATGCAAGATTCAGTCTTGATACAGATGTGTAGTTGAGATAGAGTTCGATGGCACAATTTGGCATCACTGCTCTTGTGATCCCAGCTCATCTCTGCATCTGACTCTCCTTCAGTACAAACCTTTTGTAAAGTTTTGAAACGGGGAAGGGAAAGAGGGAAGCAGGTGAGGTCAATCAGACAGTCAGTATAGATTTATCCTCCTGTTGACCTGCCAAAAAAAGCTCCAGATTTCCAGTCTGCTCGGTGATGTTTCTGACAGTCAGTTCATGGCGAGGGCAGGTCTTAGGCCTCCAGGGTCTCCATCCTAATGACGGATCCAATCACTCAGACAGCCTGCGGATCTGGAGCTTCACTGTCGGGCCAATAGTGCAGCAACAGTGCCTGCTACTTAATTAATCTTTCTTCTTGTCTGTTTGACCTCTCTTTCTGTCTGCCAGCATGTTCCTCCTTCCTTCCTGCCTCCCCGTCTGTCCAGTTTTCTGTTTTTTGATCACTGACATTTTAAGGCTGAAACTATTTTTAGTCCTTGAATGAATACAATGAAGAGCTGCTGGCATTTGATTGAAGTCTCAATTAACACTAAATACAAAAGGGTTTGTCAGCGGATAATTGGTGCTAAAAGGGCCTGTTGTGTGAGGTGTTGTGTTCTTTGTTTGTGTTGTATTTCTTGGTAATAGTCGATAATGGACTGCAGCCTGGATTTGGTCTCTGCTAGGTTCATAACATGGACATCTTGGTGGTGGTGACTCAGACTTCTGGACAGAAACAATTGAAAAAACACACACACACACACATACACTCTGAGAACTTGTCTTGGCACAAATCCTGGACATGTGTCACGGTGTCTTAAACAACAACACGTGCAGATATCTCATTCTGAAGCAGCCACACCCCTCTCTCCATTTCTTCTCGTCTCCTCCATCTTACCCCTCATAGAAAATCTTCATCTTTCCGCTGGGTAGCAGTCAACTAATTCTGGCTCTGTGTCATTTTTAATTTGACCACTGCTTCTTACTATTTCTGTGTGTCTGTCTGGTTGGCTCAACTAATGGCGCCACAGTGTTGCAGACAATCAGATATCTGGAGATGGTCTGACATGCTCTACCTCACAGTGTCAGAGCTGGAGGTACAATTGTTTGGTGTTGAATATGTAAAGCTTTTCTGAAAGGAAGACAGGTCCCTGCAGCCCAGTCGCCAGGAAAAAATGTTGGCATTGTCTGTAAAAGTGACATGCAGAGCAAGTGACATATACAGAGCAGCCTTTGTTGAAAGTTACATATAATAACGAGTATGAGGGTGAGAAAGTCTACAAAGGGCAGGTGGGAGTGGTGGAAAGGACTTTCACCCAGGAGACCGCTTTTGAGGTCTTGTTTGAAACCAGAAGTAGACATTGAAAAAAGATCATGGTTTGTGTTATAATAACAAAACGTAACTCTGCAACGAGCATAAACACAAAGTACTTCTGTTGCCTAAACCAAAACCAATCGTTTTGCAATGTTAACCATGCGGCATGCATGATAAGAGAAGAATATTAAAAGTACTCATTAAGCGTATTTTTGGTTCAGGAACTTTTAACATATCCTGTGAGTAGGAGCTGTTTCTGCAATCAAGTGGGTGTAAGACACAATTGGTCCAGTAGGTGTCACCCTTGTGCTTTAATATTGGTAGGTGTGACCAATACATATTCCATCAAAGGCAAAGAAGCAGAAGTTGAACTTGTTATTAGCTAGACACTGCTAAGCTGTGCTACAGCAAGTACATCAATAATTAACATGACGCTCTCCAGTAGCATTGTGTTTAGCCGCTGCACCCTGGTTAACAGATATTGCCTACATTCGTCTGACTAGGTTGGTCCTTACCTTCCACAGCAGCTGGATTCTCATGATGTCAGGAGATCACGCAAGAATCCTGGTATCTTACCACATATCCATCTTGTCAGGCTTCAAGTATTGCCTTTGTGTCCGGCAAGCCAGTGCACGGACCAATCAGCGTCCTGTGAGGAGCTAGAGGCAGCTACGGCGTGGCTTACGTGTGTGTGCGTTCTAAACAACAACGGCAGCTCCTTAATGTAGATGCTACAATAGCCTCAGTTATATCAGAACTGGAGATGGACTGCAGATGGCTCATCCTATCGCCTGCCAAGTATTCTTTGAAAGTGCCTGCCCCTTTCCAAACAGTTTCCACTTCCAATGACGGCTTCTCAGACGGCTCTGTATAGCAAACCATCTGGCGGGTCAGGTTAGGTTAGTCCCCGAGTGATAGCTAACACTTGTTTTGAAGGCAGCAGCATCATCTCTGATCACTGCGTGTTGTTGGTAAAGTTAGTACCCAGCCACCCACCATCAATAGTTCCCAACTTAGTTCCCAGCATGACAGTTTCATGCTGTGACACTGATTTTGCTTCTAACACATGCTGGAGTTTTTCTTTTCTTTTTCTTAAAACATTTACTTTCTTTCAAAATTATTAAACATAATGTTTTATTCTGTTTTCCTTATTTACTACCTTTCTGCGTTATGCAATTAGAATTGCCTTTATGTTTTGTAGTTGCCTTGCTTTTAAATTACAGACATATAAATGTTGAGCAGCCTCTTTTTCTTCCATTCTTTCATCTTCTGAGCACAAAGCTGTCTGTATTAAACTCCATCATTAGATCATACATGCTGCTGTGTGTGTGTGTGTGTGTGTGTGTGTGTTTGTGGTAGGAGATGGTACGTTGTATCAGCCACCAGTGCAAATCGGTAATCCTTCATGCTACACTGATCACTCCATCCATTACTTCAGTTCTTCTTCAGCGCAGTATGTGTATGAACTTACGGGTGTGTATGTGTGCCGGTGTGCTGTCCTTCTCAAACTACAGTGTGACTCTAGACATCTCTATTATTCATAGGCTTAGGGAGAGGAGCAGTGACCATGAAGGTGTGTGTGTGTGTGTGTGTGTTTTTGTGTTAAAATAAGTTTGTTTGTTTCCCTCACATTCTTTACAAAATCCTGGCTGCAGAGTTAAAGTTAAAACTAAGAGATGAGTTTTTATTGATTGCCTATAATCCCTTCTTAAGATTATCTTGCCAGCTTTTATGAGAAACATTTCTAATATATTAAATCTGCTATTGGAGTTGAGCAATGCAGTATGGATTACCTAATATTTCATATTGTTGTCAGGCTTGCAGTGTACTGGCAGGTTGATGAAGACGGGGCCTGAAGGCAGAAGACAAGTTCAGCTGACTGCTGTCTGCTCTATACTTGCCCTCCAATGTCAACACAAATGTATCTATAAATCTGTGCTGCAGTGAGTTTCACATTCTCCACTATGTTCATCAGCTAGTTACCAACTTCGTCAACCTTTTAAATGCTTGACAGGTAGCTTACATGGGATTTTCTTTTCTTTTTTTTCTCTCAAAACAGCTGCGCTTGTTCTAAACAAAAAGTAGGGGAGTTAATCCTGATCTGAATCATTAGAGATCCCTGTCCCAAGAAGCCAGGAGTCCCCATTAATAATTAGTAAGTGATCCTTGTATGATCTTTAATACCGACTCAGAACAACCTTACAGTCTTTCCCACATGCTCAGAGAGCCCTGACACACCCAAGTAACACAGCAGGACTCTGTCTGACAGCATTGCATCGACTCTTGGGTTCAAAACAGCTCGCTGTCCAACGCTCACCTGAACTTTGACCCTATTCTTTGACTGCTAAATGAGAATGAGAGCACAGAGCCTGCAGAAAGAGAGCAAGAACGTTATAGAGGAAGCATCTGCCTGACGTTTGATTGATTTTCTCCCTGACCTAAGCAACAGACAGGTGTGTATGTAAGTGTGTGTGTGTGGGTGTGCCACTACCAGAAAAATCCATGTCGTCTGAGGTTGCTGTGGCAACGGTAATCACTTTTAATTCAGCCTCAGGGAGAAGGAAAGAGTATAAAGGTGGAGTGGCAGCAGTTTAGTTGGGTAATGTGGAAGTTGTGGAGGGAGAAACAATAAAACGTGTCGACGGGAAAACAAGGTAAGTGTGTTTCCTTGTTTAGTGACTCTGCAAGCATTCACACTGAGTGAGTGGACGCAGAATGATAGAGCTTTCCATTAAAACCTTTCTCAATGCCACAGGATGTAAAAGCTCCTCCTCTCTCCCTACTGGCAGGTAATAATCCGTTTATCAGCGACTGGTGAAGGCTGGTATTTGTCCAACAACCTCTCTCCTGTCAGGCTTTTTCTCTCTTTTTAAATTTTACCACATTGGAGAATGGAGGGAAATATATGAATTATGCATTCTCCTTTTTGCCCCATCTCCACCTTCCTATCTGTCTCTTCGTATTCCTTCACTTTTCCTTTTTGCTCCTATACTCCACCTCCTCTTCGTCCTTTTCCTCACTGTTATGAATGCCATTAATGAAAGAGCGAGCGAGAAACATACAGACAGACAGAGAAGGACGGTGTGTGATGCTAATTGATGGGTTTGCTTCGTTTCCTCTGTCACTTTACTCAACCTCCTGCTGGCTCAAACACACACACACACACACACACACACACACACACACACACACACACTCACTCAAAAGCTGTCGTCTTTATGAGCCATGAGTGGAGGAAAAAGAGAGAAAAAAAAAAAACATCAACAAGATGTGTGGAGCTCGAGAAAAACCACCACCTGCCACTCAAGACAGCCTTCTTGTAGTATAGCGCTCACACACGTACACAAACACACACGCACTCTCGCATGTGCGCCGGTCCGTAATTTTTCCGCCACACTCTGCTCCCAGCCAATGAGAGGCCAGAACTGGGCTTCTCAGAACGTGAGGGGGAGGAGGCAGAGAGCGGCTGGCTGATTGACAGCCAGCACCCTACAGGTGGAGAGAATAGCGGAGAGAAAGAGAGAGGGGGAAGAACGACAGAGAGAGGAAAGAGAAGGGGTGAGTGAGGAGGAGAAGAGAGGCAGGCACACCTACTGTACACACACACACGCACACACTCACACACTCACAGTGCTCTGTTCCTCTCCTCCTACCTTGAGAGCTTGCTTCCCCCGGCAGACTAGCCGACACAAACACCACCATCACTATCATCACCTCCACCACAGCTGCACCAAGATGAGCCAGTGCAGGAAAAGGTGCAAGAGGCAGCTCACCAAGGTGGCTCGCTATTTCTACCACTTCCTCATGGGAACTCTCACCGAAGGTAGGCACCCAAAACTTCCACTTCCACACCCAGAGCTTTTGCTGGTGGGTCCGCTTCTTCTGCGAGTACAGAAGCCAAATCGCGATGGTGTTCACTGGAGTTTGCTGTGTATTTAGCAGAGGCTGTTTCTGATCTTTGCTGATAGTCCTGTGGTTGATCCATCACTTCAGTGTCCTGCTGTGTCTGTGGCCGAGCTTGTTCTCTACCTAAATGATGGTAGGGCAGATGTATACTCCATATTTGCATAGATCTAAAACAAGCATATTTTTTTCAAAGAGCGTGAGTGAACTTGTAGGGTTTGCATGTGTGTGTGTGTGTGTGTGTATACAGTACGTCTGAGTGCTTTGTTTCATCTCCAGACAGAGAAACCATACAAACGAAGACATCAAACAGCTTGAAGAGTATTCTCTGTATATTGTTCATATGCATTGTATATATAAGTATCTATGTATGTATGCTTGTGGGCATATGTTTTCTGTTGGGGTTGAATGAACTCACTCCTCCCCTCTTTCTATCTTTTTTTGACTCCCTCGTCCTCCCTCCCACAGCCTCCTTTCTCTCCTCCTGCTCTCTCTCTGGCAGTCAGAAAGATTGCCCTCTGGAAGCAAGTGGCATTCCACCTCCATTGAGAAACTCTCAGTGGGACAAAGACACGGAGCCTTTTATCCAGCCCTTCAGTCAGCTCTCAGTATGACATCGACTCACCCATCCTCCTCTTTAGCTCTCCCTGTACAATTACACGCAACTTTAAAATGCTAATCTTTGCGCTAAGATTAGAATAAAGTTGTATAAACCACGTCAGAATATTTTCTTGATACTTAAAAGGTCTTATTTCCTTTATGTACTCACACTCTTTGTCCTACTGAGCGTAGTGTTGAATGAATAAAGTGTCCTTTGCCAGAAACACCCTCTATAATGTGCCTTTTGACAGCCCGCTGCTAAGCTTTACACCCATTCTCTCTCTTTCTTGTGAGTGATATTGAACAGCAGCTCACATTGCCTTGGGGAAGACACAACAGAGTAGGGTGTTTCTATTGAATCCCAGCAGTTGATCCTAGAAGGTGGAGATAAAGCAGTGTTTAGATGACCTTGTCAATAGAGCGGTGCGTGAATGCTAATTTGACATCCGTGCCGCTCATCTCCACCTCGGCTCTCCTCCTTGTTATCTCCTCAGACTTTGACATCTGCAGAGCTTCATGTTCGTGCTCTGACAGCAGCGACTGGACATGAGTGCATGAGGCACACACACATACACACACGTTATAATCCATGTAGGAACATCGTATTTTGACCAAAACAATAACATTGCGTATGATGACCAATTTATTCAGGTGGAAAAGTTACCAATATTTGTGCTGATAAAGAATTCTTTGGTTGTTAGAATGATGCTTCAGGTGTTTTTTTATATTTTGTTTTTGGGACGCAAATGTGTTACCAATTACCACATTAAAACGGTCAAATCTCAGTATTAAAGCATTTAAAACTCAAGCATTTAAAATTTGGATTCAACAGTGAAACACTGATGACAATTTTTTTCAAAATATGGCAGTATATGAATGATTGAATGAATGATTAATTGGCTCTAACAAATGAATAAGATATTCTGTATTTTTCTTATTGTCAACAAATCCAATTTCAAGGTGTAGTCAAAGCCTGAGAGCTTATTGCTCTGTGCCATACACATCTGAAACTACTAAAAGCGCAGCAATTAGCTAAAGTACATTGTAATGAGCTACATGTTCGTTCGTTACAATGAACATGGGCACTGTCGTATACTTTAAGTCAGTACATACTCCATCCTGCTGTTAATACTCCACCGAATGCATATTAATCCTCCGCTGTATATAGTTCCTGACAAACAAAATCTGTTTTATTAGCATTTGCTAAAAACTACAATGCCCAGCTTTTAAAATAATTTACTGAGCCTTTTTTTTTTTAACACAAAACTATGTATTCCTATGTTTTCTTTAAAAGGTTTGGTTTAATGGTCTTTATAGAGCTGTCTACTACGAAATTCTTAGTCGAATGACACCTAATGACTAATCGATCTAGTTAGATTTAATAAACAGATCTGTAAAACTGAGTTTCTCCACAGATGATAATGCAAAAGCAGTCATTTAAATCTGATGTGCTCATTAGTTTCTTGGAAATAAGTCATTCAGCATGAAAAACATGGATACTTGATTAATTAATTGACTTTGATTGTGCATATACATAATTAATGTACCAGACATCTGTTGGGTGCTTCATGCATTAAAAGCAAATTATTATAAAGTCAGATAAGGAAATGCAAACATTGGTAAATTATAGAGTTTGACATCGGGCTTTGCAAAACAAACTACTCTGTTTACACAGCTAACTAGCTACCAGAGTCTCAAAGCCCCTTCACCAGCTCCCCTCCATGATGTATTTACTAAAGTGTGTGTGTGTGCGCGCATACATACGCATCCTTACGTTTGCCCAGAATGGAGTTACCATGACTACTGGCTCCTGTGTGCCTGTTCCAATAGGAGAGAGAGGGAGAGGGAGAGCGATGTCTGCTTCAGTGTGATGGGAGCCGGTGAGGGCAGAACTGTGTAATGGCTGTGCTACATATAGGGATTTCATCAAGGCCATTCACAGTTTGGTATTTGAGTATTGTGGCATTTTTGGCAGTGCTGAGGGACGTGTGATTTAAGTCGGGCATGGACTCTGCCATCAAAGTTGTGTGTAACCCTTAAACTATGCAAAGAAAAGGACACAAGTCCCGGGTTACTTGGTGTTTTATTCCCCCTCATTGGGTAAAGTCAACAGACCATGTTTGAAAGATTCTACCAGATTATTCTTGATTTTACACCCCAACTGAGCCTTGATACCACACAATGTTTCCGGATATGTTGTTGTGTCTATAATTAGTCCAGTCAATTATAAGCATACTTATAAGTATGACCTGCCTATTCCACCACAGACCTACACGATGCTTAGGAGTCTGATTGTGTCCGGTTATGGCTGGTTGGGGTTTGTGTGTGTGCACATTACTGATGACAGTCATTTGTAGTCACCCTCCTTCTTGCCCCTACTTTGCCCAGTAATTAGTTTGTTTCATTAGCCTCTGTAGGGGAAACAAGCCACTCTGATGTGTGTGTGTGTGTGTGTGTGTGTGTGTGTGTTCTCTGCCCTAGAGCTTTGTTCGTGTCGATTTGCCTAATAGTGGGACTAGCTTTGTTTAGTGCAATTAAGATGTATTAAATACCATTAAATGTGTTTGCCCGCCCACATACCCACACAAAGTATACCACTTAACATACACCAACTGTATGCACACTATCTTCCTTTTCTACTTCACTCTGTTGCATGACACAATCTTCGTCTGTAGATGTGATGTTGAGGCTTTGGCTGCATAGAATCTCTGTGAGCCCTATTGATCTGTCCTTTAGCTGTGCTCTTATCTCACGTAACAAGTCCAAGCTGACAGTACACGTCTCTTTCTTCATTCTGTACCCTCTCCGAGGGCTGTGCAATATATCCATATTATATCTGTATTGTGATACAAGACTAGATATTGTCTTAGATTTTGGATATATGGCATAAGTGTTGTCTTTTCCTGGTTTTGAAGGATCAATTACAGGAAAGGGATGTTATTTTCTTACCATGTCCCACCAGACCTTGCTAGCTGTTCTATTATTTGATTATTTATCAAAAATATCATTGTATGAATATTTTGTGAAAGCAACATTTAGGGGGGTCAATTGGCAGAAATGACGTATAATATTATTAAGTGTGTTTTCATTAGTGTATAATCGCCTCAAAACAAGAATTGTGGTGTTTCTGCCTTCTGTGGAGCTGTTTAGTTGTTTGTCTTGAGAGAGGGTCCTCTTCACGGCTGTCATGTTTCTTTTTTTTTTACCTTAATGCCTCCTTCTTTTGATAGTGATCATCTGGAAAGAGGGAGTTTCAGTTGTTTGCGAGCTGCAACTCCACCGCATGTTGCAGCCAGATCCTACACACTGCATCTGTAACTGAAGAAATACCACCTGTGGTTTGGCATGAAATTAAAGAGGTGGGGTTTGTGAGCCTGTGCCTACGCTAAAAGGCTGCGCTCACCTTCACAGGTGTTTTCAATTTTGGGGGCTGCCTAGACCTCTGTCCAGGTTGAATTTTGGTGTAGCGATGCTGGGAATTGCAAGACGTAGCAATATGTAATGTTTAGGTGTACCATGGATGTGTATGGTGCTATAACTGATGGCTAACCATGACAAACAGCGAAAATATGTCTTTCCCATACTATCTTTGTCCAATTTATATACTGTCACATGTCCATGTTGTGCTCTTTAAATATTATTTATTTTATACTGAGACCACATAATCTCCTCCAAAACATTGAATCAGTGAAAAAGGCCTTTGATTCTGTTGCTGACACACCTAAATATGATTACATCTGTTTTTCACGGGTCAAAAACTGTCCACTGCAATAGTTTGTCCCTTTTCCATTCCCTTATCAATGCATCAGTAATCACAATATCGAACAACTCAGTTTGACCTTGTTGTCTACATGTTTACAGCCCTGCATGCTTTAGCATTGACCCCTGAACGCATTCTGGTTTTGTTTTTGCTAAATAACAATTTCACAATTTCACAGTGAGAGAGAGCGGTTACGTTTTTTCTAATCGAATAAACGAGCGACACCTTGTGCCCTAACAACTTTTGGCCGCAGTAACTGTTCACAAACATGTTGCTTTGACTTGTAAATTGCTTTAGCTTGTAATGAATAGTCTTAAATCAATATTTCATATCTGAAGATGAATGTCTTTGGGAGCTGTGTAATGGGCAGCAATACATACTGGTCATTGCTGCATATTCATTCTCTTCAGGTGATTCAGATCATGTGTTGCAGAAACTAGCTTCCTGTGACTTAATCATTTTATAAAATGCCCCGCCCAACACGGCACCTTCATACCTTTCAACTGCACTTCTTGGTACACATATGAGTAAGAATTAGTCACATTCATTTCCTTCTTCAG